GACAGGGAAAACCAAAGCGGGCAGTGCGTAGTCATGTTCGAAGCAAACAAGTCCACTTTCGCTCGGCCGAACTTCTGCCATATAAGATCCACCACCTGGGGGTGCAATCTCCACTCCCCATCCTCCAGACTCTGTCTCGAGAGCAGGTCCGCTCCTGAGTTCAGGCGACTGCTCTGATCGACAGGAGCTTTGTCTGAGCCCAAAGAAGAACACGCCTCGCCAGCCTGCACAGGGTGCGAGAACGTAATCCTCCTTGACGATTGAGGTACGACACAACTGTCGTGTTGTCCGTCCTGACTAACACAGACGAGCGTGAACGAGCCGCAGGTGGCTGACGCTCTACTTCCCTAGCCCTGCGCAGGATGAGCTGACGAAACGCGGCGGACTGCTGTTTCGTTGCTCGAAACTTCTCCACGACAGTCGTGACCGAATCCCCGAACAGACCGTCACTAGAAATGGGGGCGCACATCTGCTTGATAAGCCTGGAGTACACCCATAGAATGGAGTGTAGCCGCGGCCTGCCCAGCGGCCATGTAAGATTTTCCGATTAAAGCGGACGTAATCCTACACGGCTTGGACGGCAACAGTGGGTGTGACTTCCAAGACCGAGCAGAATTCGGCGCGAGATGTACCACGAGAGTCTCTTCTACGACCGGCATCGCCGCATAGCCGTGATCCGCCATTTTAGAAACCGTGGCGAAATCAGCGACAATGGGATTAGTAATACGCGCCGAAAAAGGTTGTTTCCAAGACCTCGAAACCTCGTGGTGGAGGTCTTGGAAGAAGGGGAGAGGCCTACGGGACTGAGACAGAGTGCGGCTAAATCCTCCGAATCGGAGGCTGCTGTGGACAGCACGTCATACGGCATACAACCGAAAGACAGAAAAGATCCTTTTATTGGTCAATTCAGCATGAGCTTTCGAGAATTGTTTAGAATATGAAAGAATGAGACCGACTTCTGTATTTAAACAGCAGCGCAGGTTGGGAGCATCAGCGTTTCTACAGGACCAACTACAATTACGGGGAAAAGCGAAAGTGACAACGACTTTGAGGAAATAAAAATCTAAATCTGCTGAAGCTACAGTACTTCTACTACTACAGCATTTTAAGGTAGCATATTTCTGTATTATTCTTGTTCAGTTTTTCTTTATTAATTCGTTTACTATTAAGTGTGTATCTGCCATTTGTGTCTCAAAGATCAGTTAAATCTGTATCACCATTACTGGTTCTTTAACACTTTGTGAACACTATTAACATCAATTAACACTATAAAAATATATGTACAGGTATTAGTAAGCCTGTCTAGAAACTTCCTTAGACCTTCCTCTTTCATATTTTTATTTACTAATTTCATATCATTTCATTTTTTCGTACAATGTATAAATGTTTTATTTAATAATAAATATTTACACATTTTTAATTTTCTTATAGTTACCTACCTGTGAAAAAGATGTTATCAGCAAAAGGAGTTGCTATTGGGATTGACCTGGGCACCACCTACTCCTGTGTAGGGGTATTTCAGCATGGAAAAGTGGAGATCATAGCCAATGACCAGGGAAACAGAACAACACCCAGCTATATTGCCTTCACAGACACTGAGAGGCTTATAGGAGATGCAGCTAAAAACCAGGTGGCCATGAACCCCAACAACACCGTGTTTGACGCTAAGAGGCTGATCGGTAGAAAGTTTGATGACCCAGTTGTGCAGTCTGACATGAAGCACTGGTCTTTCAGAGTTGTCAGTGATGGAGGGAAGCCTAAGGTACAGGTTGAGTATAAAGGAGAAACCAAGTCATTTTACCCTGAGGAAATCTCTTCCATGGTCCTGGTGAAGATGAAGGAGATTGCAGAGGCTTACCTGGGACATAAGGTGACAAATGCTGTCATTACAGTTCCTGCCTATTTCAATGACTCCCAGAGGCAAGCGACTAAAGACGCTGGAGTAATCGCTGGGCTGAATGTCCTGAGAATCATCAACGAGCCCACAGCTGCAGCCATTGCCTACGGCCTTGACAAAGGCAAAGCTTCAGAGCGCAACGTCCTGATCTTTGACCTGGGCGGAGGCACCTTTGATGTGTCCATCCTGACCATTGAAAATGGCATCTTTGAGGTGAAGGCCACAGCTGGAGACACCCATCTGGATGGGGAGGACTTTGACAACCACATGGTGAATCACTTTGTTGAAGAATTCAAGAGGAAGCACAAGAAGGACATCAGTCAGAACAACAGGGCCCTGAGGAGGCTGCGGACAGCATGTGATCGAGCCAAGAGAACCCTCTCTTCCAGCACTCAGGCCAGCATTGAGATCGACTCACTGTACGAGGGCATCGACTTCTACACGTCCATCACCAGAGCGCGCTTTGAAGAGCTGTGCTCAGACCTCTTCAGAGGAACACTTGAGCCTGTGGAAAAAGCCGTGAGAGATGCCAAGATGGCAAGTCTCAGATTGATGACATTGTCTTGGTTGGAGGATCAACAAGAATTCCAAAGATCCAGAAGTTTCTGCAACAATGGCAAAGAACTTAACAAGAGCATCAATCCAGATGAGGCAGTGGCTTATGGTGCTGCGGTCCAAGCCGCCATCCTCATGGGAGACACATCTGGAAACGTCCAGGACCTGCTGCTGCCGGATGTGGCACCACTGTCCCTGGGTATTGAAACCACAGGTGGAGTCATGATGGCCCTCATCAAACGCAACACCACCATCCCCACCAAACAGACCCAGACCTTCAGCACCTACTCAGACAACCAGTCTGGTGTCCTGATCCAGGTCTATGAGGGAGAGAGGGCCATGACAAAAGACAACAACCTGCTGGGTAAATTTGAGCTGACAGGAATCCCACCTGCTCCACGTGGAGTCCCGCAGATCGAAGTGACCTTTGACATCGATGCCAACGGAATCCTAAATGTGTCCGCGGTGGACAAAAGCACTGGAAAAGAGAAGAAGATCACCATCACCAATGACAAGGGCAGACTGAGTAAAGAGGAGATTGAGAGGATGGTGCAGGACGCAGACAAATACAAAGCTGAAGATGATCTGCAAAGAGAGAAGATTGCTGCCAAAAACTCTCTGGAGTCTTACGCCTTCAACATGAAGAACAGTGTGGAAGATGAGAACCTGAAAGGAAAGATCAGTGAGGACGACAAGAAGAAAGTTATTGAGAAATGTAATGAGGCTGTCAGCTGGCTAGAAAACAACCAGCTGGCTGAAAAAGAAGAGTATGATCATAAGCTGAAGGAGCTGGAAAAGATCTGCAACCCAATCATCACTAAACTATACCAGGGAGGGATGCCAGCTGGAGGCTGTGGAGCTCAGACACGTGGCAGCTCAGGGGCCCACTATTGAGGAGGTGGATTAGGTATGAGATGGGCAGTGTCTTAATTTATTGTTTAAGAATTTTTGGACCATTTATTTGAACGTTGTTGTTTATTTGACCACTACTGCTGAATTTCTAGTGCATTGTATGCTGCATTTTGTTTTTGTGGAGAAGATCATAATATTGATTAAAGATTGCAGTTGAACATTTAAATTTACGTTTGAAAGATTGCATATAAAATGTATTTTTGTTTGGGATATCTGTTCTACTACATGTTATAAGAAATGTTATTTGTACAAGACTGCTAATGGTATTTCATGTAGGAGCTGCACGTTAAGAAATAAATAGAAAGTTTTCAGCATGCTGACTGTTGAAATGTGGAATTTTCTGTGTGCATTCCAATTGTAGGCATTAATGTTGTGCCATATTCCATATGAAAATATTTTTGTTTTGTCCAAGGCTCTGAACATTCTCAATAAACTATTAAAAATGTTACCAAATGTTACAAAAGACTGTTTAAAAAAATTAAAAAAGACTGAATACCTAAAATTGATTGACTCTAAACATACAGTAAGCCTAAGCTAACTCTATTTTCATTATTATGGGCTTACTTACTTGATTATTACTTAACAGTGAAATGCATAAAGGCTATATCTAACTAATGGTTACGTAACATAAAGAAAAAATAATTTTACTGATGCCTAAGTGTGGTTACAGCAGTCTGGGTTTAAGAGACAATAATAAAAACAAACCAAACAGAAATGATTAAACTGAACTAAATACAGTATAGTTAGTAGCTAGTTAAACAGACTCAGCTTATATTTGTAGTTATCTTAAAGGGAAAGTTTACACAAAAATAATGACTCTGTGATCATTTATTAATCCTCATGTCATTCCAAACCTGTATGAGTTTCATTTTTGAGGAACATAACCATATATTTATGTTTTTGGAAGTCACCAAAAGTGTCTGGTTACCAACATTCTTCAAAATATAGATTTGGAATGAAATAAGAGTTGCGTAAATTAACAGAATGTTCATTTTCGGCCAAACTATCCCTTTAAGAGTTTATTGGGAGATTATATGCACTAGTTAGATAAATTACAAAAGCAGGATTACAAACAAACTTTTCATTAAAACAAACAAATCAAAATTAAACTGTGAAAAGACATACATATATCTATATATCTGTAGCATAAAGGTAATCTCTCCAGTGTTGGGGAAAGTTAATTTTAAAAGTAATGCATTACAATATTGCGTTACTCCTTAAAAAATGACAAATTGGATTACTTAGTTACTTTCTATGGAAATTAATAAGTTATATTACTTTTTCTCGTCTAGGCTGTGCTTGCTGGTTTATTTTTATTATAAAAGAGTATCTATTTTAAGCAATTGTAAAAGCCTTTTCACACACATCAAACACATCTTTCATCTGTGCTGTCATTCTGGATTGCATGAAGAATAGGACGCAGGAGAAGAAATGCTATGTTTATCTAAAGTAATTTGGCTTAATCGTAATCTATCTATCTATCTATATGACATAAAGATTTGAAGGACCATTTGTCAGGTTTGCAGACCATCCTAAACCAGCCAAGCTCTCTGCTGTTTAATTAATGACAGAAAAGACTGACAGTGCCATGTCTAGCCCACGAAATTCCCTTCCCATCATGGTCTCTCTGCTCAAACCCCAGCGTGTCCTCCTCACGCCCCTCTCCGCTGATGACGCGCGGGGTTCATTTCCGGTGACCGCAGTCTGTTGTTGAGTGTACCGTTCTGTCCAGAATCGGGATGGTACTCGTCAAGCAATAGTGAGTGGCTTTTACTGTATTCATTAACTGGATTCAGTTGCGCTATATTTTACAGTCTAGGCTGCCGTTTTTTAAGCAATTTTCCATATGGCATAATAAATAGATGATTTTAAGCCTGTGATTTGGACGGGCGCTAGCCGCTTAGCCTGCTTGATACAGCATTATAGGGTGTTTAATGGACCGCGTCTCCACCAACGCCGCTATTCATCAACACATGATAGTTTGAGTGTTTAATAAGAGTAATATATTGAGTTCAGACTCCGCTGCGTTAAAGCGCCGGTTTATTGCAAAAGAAAGCGGGGCCAGCTAACGACACGCCCGTTATACAGGCGCGGCGTGATGCAGTGTCCATGGTATGAGAGAAATAATGATTCAGTGCTGCTTTTAATCTCTGTTTACTTCTCTTTTCAGCCAGGTGCTGTTGCCATGTTCAGTAGAAGAGGTAAGAGTCCCTGCTTTTACAGTAACCGGCTGCTGCGTCTTCTGTGGGGCTCAATGGGGATCTGTGTTTCTGCTTAAGCAAATATTCTGACAGCTCCCTTCACTTTAATGGAGTCAGCAGCACCTCTTCTGCATTACATTGTTTGTTTCTATTGTGCTGTGAACTGGCGGACAGTTGCCACTAGTTATTTATGTTACACCCCCTCGCCCCCCTCTCAGTACCAGGTTGGCCAACTGTACTCGGTTGCAGAGGCCAGTAAGAACAACACAGGGGGAGGAGAAGGGATCGAGGTCCTCCGAAATGAACCTTACGAGAAGGACGGAGAGAAGGGCCAGTACACCCACAAGATCTACCACATACACAGGTGAGAGCATGTGTAAAGACTTTGATCATGTTGACAGTCATGCTGGTTTCACTTTATCTGTAAGATAAGACTGTGATCACAGAATTGTTGTAGGAACCTCTGGCAGTGACATCTACTGTTTAGCAGTTACACTTACTATTCTGTTGAAATATACACAACCGTTAACTTGGGGTCAGTATTTTTATTTATTTATTTTTTAAAGAAAATGGTTAGGTTTTCATTGAATTGTTCAGACGTATCATTAAAGACTTCTGCATTGTTACAAAATGATCTATTTCAAATAATTGCTGTGTAGACTCAGCTTATATTTGTAGTTATCTTAAAGGGAAAGTTTACACAAAAATAATGACTCTGTGATCATTTATTAATCCTCATGTCATTCCAAACCTGTATGAGTTTCATTTTTGAGGAACATAACCATATATTTATGTTTTTGGAAGTCACCAAAAGTGTCTGGTTACCAACATTCTTCAAAATATAGATTTGGAATGAAATAAGAGTTGCGTAAATTAACAGAATGTTCATTTTCGGCCAAACTATCCCTTTAAGAGTTTATTGGGAGATTATATGCACTAGTTAGATAAATTACAAAAGCAGGATTACAAACAAACTTTTCATTAAAACAAACAAATCAAAATTAAACTGTGAAATGACATACATATATCTATATATCTGTAGCATAAAGGTAATCTCTCCAGTGTTGGGGAAAGTTACTTTTAAAAGTAATGCATTACAATATTGCGTTACTCCTTAAAAAAATGACAAATTGGATTACTTAGTTACTTTCTATGGAAATTAATAAGTTATATTACTTTTTCTCGTCTAGGCTGTGCTTGCTGGTTTATTTTTATTATAAAAAAATATCTATTTTAAGCAATTGTAAAAGCCTTTTCACACACATCAAACACATCATGCTATTTCAAATAATTGCTGTTTTTTAAACTTTCTGTTCATCAAAGAATCCTAAAAATATGTATCACAGTTTCCACAGAAATATTAAGCAGCACAACTGTTTTCAACTTGATAATAATAAGAATGTTTCTTGAGCTCCAAATTATCATACTAGAATTATCTGTGAAAGATTGTGTGACAATTCAGTTTGCCATCACAGGAATAAATTGTTTTAAAATATATTCTAATAGAAAACATTTATTATAAATATTATAATACATACTATTTCACAATATTCCAGTTTTTGATAAAATAAATGCAGCCTTGGTGAGCATAAGAGACATTAAAAAATATTGAAAAATCTTAACCTTTTGAAAAGTAGTGTATAGGGAAGACTGGGGCAAGTTCCACACTTTTTAAACTTTGTCTTGGCTTAAAAACAAAACAAAAAACTAACAAACAAACAAAAACATTTGGACATTGCCTGGTTAAAAAAAACAGTACATGGGTTAAGTCACAATAATAGACTTTTCTGCTAAATGTGAACCTGGACCACAAAACCAGTCATACGTAGCACGGGTATATTTTTAACAATAGCCAACAATACATTGTATGGGTCAAAATGATTTTTCTTTTATGCCAGAAATCGTTAGGATATTAAAGGGTTAGTTCACCCAAAAATGAAAATTAGGCTGCGTTTTACTCACTCCCGAGGCATCCTAGGTGTATATGACTTTCTTCTTTCAGACGAATCCAGTCGGAGTTATATTAAAAATTGTCTTTGATCTTTCAAGCTGTTTAATGCCACTCAGCGGGTGTTGCATTGCTTCAGTCCAAAAGAACTTAAATAAAAATCGCCCATCCATAAAAAACAGTGTCTCACACGGCTCCGGGGGGTAAATAAAGGCCTTCTGTAGCGAATCGATGCGTTTTTGTAAGAAAAATATCCATATTCAAAACGTAATAATCACTTTAATGAAGCTCGCGCTCACTGTTGTACATGGAAGCAGTTCCGAGCGGATGACGTACGAGGTCGGCTTTGCGCATGCGCCGCTCAGAAGTGACGAATGTGGAAACGCAGGGGAGAGATCAAAACAAAACAACGGTCAAGAATTAGAAGTACAAAATGAGGATTTGTAAAGAAGAATGTCAGAGGATTTCAATATAAGCCAAGAGGAGACT